GAGAAGGGGATGGAATCTGGGAGAAGTGGGATGGAATCAGGGAGAAGGGGATGGAATCTGGAGAAGGGGGTGGAATCTGGGAGAAGGGGGTGGAATCTGGGAGAAGGGGATGGAATCTGGGAGAAGGGGATGGAATCTGGGAGAAGGGATTGAATCTGGGAGAAGGGGATGGAATCTGGAAGAAGGGGATGGAATCTGGGAGAATGGGATAGAATCTGGGAGAAGGGGATGAATCTGGGAGAAGGGGATGGAATCTGGGAGAAGGGATAGAATCTGGAGAAGGGGATGGAATCTAGGGAAAGGGATGGAATCTGGGAGAAGGGGATGGAATCTGGGAGAAGGGGATGGAATCTGGGAGAAGGGATAGAATCTGGGAGAAGGGGATGGAATCTGGGAGAAGGGGATGGAATCTAGGAGAAGGGATGGAATCAGGGAGAAGGGATGGAATCTGAGAGAAGGGGATGGAATCTGGGAGAAGGGGTGGAATCTGGGAGAAGGGGATGGAATCTGGGAGAAAGGTATAGAATCTGGGAGAAGGGGATGAAATCTGGGAGAATGGGATGGATTTTGGAGAAGTGGATGGAATCTGGGAGAAGGGGATGGAATCTGGGAGAAGGGATGGAATCTGGGACAAAGGGATGAATCTGGAGAAGGGGTGGAATCTGGGAGAAGGGGATGAACTCTGGGAGAAGGGGATGGAATCTGGGAGAAGGGGATGGAATCTGGGAGAAGGGGATGGAATCTGGGAGAAGGGGATGGAATCTGGGAGAAGGGGATGGAATCTGGGAGAAGGGATGGAATCTAGGAGAAGGGGATGGAATCAGGGAGAAGGGGATGGAATCTGGGAGAAGGGGTGGAATCAGGGAGAAGGGGATGAAATCTGGGAGAAGGGATGGAATCTAGGAGAAGGGGATGGAATCAGGGAGAAGGGGATGGAATCTGGGAGAAGGGGATGGAATCTGGGAGAAGGGGATGGAATCTGGGAGAAGGGGATGGAATCTAGGAGAAGGGGATGGAATCAGGGAGAAGGGGATGGAATCTGGGAGAAGGGATGGAATCTGGGAGAAGGGGATGAACTCTGGGAGAAAGGGATGGAATCTGGGAGAAGGGGATGGAATCTAGGAGAAGGGGATGGAACCAGGGAGAAGGGGATGGAATCTGGGAGAAGGGGGTGGAATCAGGGAGAAGGGGATGAAATCTGGGAGAAGGGGATGGAATCTAGGAGAAGGGGATGGAATCAGGGAGAAGGGGATGGAATCTGGGAGAAGGGGATGGAATCTGGGAGAAGGGGATGGAATCTGGGAGAAGGGGATGGAATCTAGGAGAAGGGGATGGAATCAGGGAGAAGGGGATGGAATCTGGGAGAAGAGAATGGAATCTGGGAGAAGGGGGTGGAATCTGGGAGAAGGGGATGGAATCTGGGAGAAGGGGATGGAATCTAGGAGAAGGGGATGGAATCTGGGAGAAGGGGACGGAATCAGGGAGAAGGGGATGGAATCTGTAAGAAGGGGATGGAATCTGGGAGAAGGGGATGGATTCTGGGAAAGGGGATGGAATCTGGGAGAAGGGGGTGGAATCAGGGAGAAGGGGATGAAATCTTTGAGAAGGGGATGGAATCTGGGAGAAGGGGATGGAATCTGGGAGAAGGGGATGGAATCTGGGAGAAGGGGATGGAATCTGGGAGAAGGGGATGGAATCAGGGAGAAGGGGATGGAATCTGGGAGAAGGGGGTGGAATCTGGGAGAAGGGGGTGGAATCTGGGAGAAGGGGATGGAATCTGGGAGAAGGGGATGGAATCTGGGAGAAGGGGATTGAATCTGGGAGAAGGGGATGGAATCTGGAAGAAGGGGATGGAATCTGGGAGAATGGGATAGAATCTGGGAGAAGGGGATGGAATCTGGGAGAAGGGGATGGAATCTGGGAGAAGGGGATAGAATCTGGGAGAAGGGGATGGAATCAGGGAGAAGGGGATGGAATCTGGGAGAAGGGGATGGAATCTGGGAGAAGGGGATGGAATCTGGGAGAAGGGGATAGAATCTGGGAGAAGGGGATAGAATCTGGGAGAAGGGGATGGAATCTAGGAGAAGGGGATGGAATCAGGGAGAAGGGGATGGAATCTGAGAGAAGGGGATGGAATCTGGGAGAAGGGGGTGGAATCTGGGAGAAGGGGATGGAATCTGGGAGAAAGGTATAGAATCTGGGAGAAGGGGATGAAATCTGGGAGAATGGGATGGAATTTTGGAGAAGTGGATGGAATCTGGGAGAAGGGGATGGAATCTGGGAGAAGGGGATGGAATCTGGGACAAAGGGATGGAATCTGGAAGAAGGGGGTGGAATCTGGGAGAAGGGGATGAACTCTGGGAGAAGGGGATGGAATCTGGGAGAAGGGGATGGAATCTGGGAGAAGGGGATGGAATCTGGGAGAAGGGGATGGAATCTGGGAGAAGGGGATGGAATCTGGGAGAAGGGGATGGAATCTAGGAGAAGGGGATGGAATCAGGGAGAAGGGGATGGAATCTGGGAGAAGGGGGTGGAATCAGGGAGAAGGGGATGAAATCTGGGAGAAGGGGATGGAATCTAGGAGAAGGGGATGGAATCAGGGAGAAGGGGATGGAATCTGGGAGAAGGGGATGGAATCTGGGAGAAGGGGATGGAATCTGGGAGAAGGGGATGGAATCTAGGAGAAGGGGATGGAATCAGGGAGAAGGGGATGGAATCTGGGAGAAGGGGATGGAATCTGGGAGAAGGGGGTGGAATCTGGGAGAAGGGGATGGAATCTGGGAGTAGGGGATGGAATCTGGGAGAAGGGGATGGAATCAGGGAGAAGGGGATGGAATCAGGGAGAAGGGGATGGAATCTGGGAGAAGGGGATGGAATCTGGGAGAAGGGGATGGAATCTTGGAAAGGGGATGGAATCTGGGAGAAGGGGGTGGAATCTGGGAGAAGGGGATGAAATCTGGGAGAAGGGGATGGAATCTGGGAGAAGGGGATGGAATCTGGGAGAAGGGGGTGGAATCTGGGAGAAGGGGATGGAATCTGGGAGAAGGGGATGGAATCTGGGAGAAGGGGATGGAATCAGGGAGAAGGGGATGGAATCAGAGAGAAGGGGATGGAATCTGGGAGAAGGGGATGGAATCTGGGAGAAAGGGATGGAATCTGGGAAAGGGGATGGAATCTGGGAGAAGGGGGTGGAATCTGGGAGAAGGGGATGAAATCTGGGAGAAGTGGATGGAATCTCGGAGAAGGGGATGGAATATGGGAGAAGGGGATGGAATCCGGGAGAAGGGGATGGAATCTGGGAGAAGGGGATGGAATCAGGGAGAAGGGGATGGAATCTAGGAGAAGGGGGTGGAATCTGGGAGAAGGGGGTGGAATCTGGGAGAAGGGGATGGAATCTGGGAGAAGGGGATGGAATCTGGGAGAAGGGGATGGAATCTGGGATAAGGGGATGGAATCTGGAAGAAGGGGATGGAATCTGGGAGAAGGGGATTGAATCAGGGAGAAGGGGATGGAATCGGGGAGAAGGTGATGGAATCTGGGAGAAGGGGATGGAATCTAGGAGAAGGGGATGGAATCAGGGAGAAGGGGATGGAATCAGGGAGAAGGGGATGGAATTTGGGAGAAGGGGGTGGAATCTGGGAGAAGGGGATGGAATTTGGGAGAAGGGGATGGAATCTGGGAGAAGGGGATGGAATCTGGGAGAAGGGGATGGAATCTGGGAGAAGGGGATGGAATCTGGGAGAAGGGGATTGAATCAGGGAGTAGGGGATGGAATCGGGGAGAAGGGGATGGAATCTGGGAGAAGGGGGTGGAATCTGGGAGAAAGGGATGGAATCTGGAAGAAGGGGATGGAATCTGGGAGAAGGGGATGGAATCTGGGAGAAGGGGATGGAATCTGGGAGAAGGGGATGGAATCTGGGAGAAGGGGATGGAATCTGGGAGAAGGGGATGGAATCTGGGAGAAGGGGATGGAATCTGGGAGAAGGGGATGGAATCTGGGAGAAGGGGATGGAATCTGGGAGAAGGGGATGGAATCTAGGAGAAGGGGATAGAATCAGGGAGAAGGGGATGGAATCTGGGAGAAGGGGGTGGAATCAGGGAGAAGGGGATGAAATCTGGGAGAAGGGGATGGAATCTAGGAGAAGGGGATGGAATCAGGGAGAAGGGGATGGAATCTGGGAGAAGGGGATGGAATCTGGGAGAAGGGGATGGAATCTGGGAGAAGGGGATGGAATCTAGGAGAAGGGGATGGAATCAGGGAGAAGGGGATGGAATCTGGGAGAAGGGGATGGAATCTGGGAGAAGGGGGTTGATTCTGGGAGAAGGGGATGGAATCTGGGAGAAGGGGATGGAATCTGGGAGAAGGGGATGGAATCTGGGAGAAGGGGATGGAATCAGGGAGAAGGGGATGGAATCTGGGAGAAGGGGATGGAATCTGGGAGAAGGGGATGGATTCTGGGAAAGGGGATGGAATCTGGGAGAAGGGGGTGGAATCAGGGAGAAGGGGATGAAATCTGGGAGAAGGGGATGGAATCTGGGAGAAGGGGATGGAATATGGGAGAAGGGGATGGAATCTGGAAGAAGGGGATGGAATCTGGGAGAAGGGGATGGAATCAGGGAGAAGGGGATGGAATCTGGGAGAAGGGGATGGAATCAGGGAGAAGGGGATGAAATCTGGGAGAAGGGGATGGAATCTAGGAGAAGGGGATGGAATAAGGGAGAAGGGGATGGAATCTGGGAGAAGGGGATGGAATCTGGGAGAAGGGGATGGAATCTGGGAGAATGGGATGGAATCTAGGAGAAGGGGATGGAATCAGGGAGAAGGGGATGGAATCTGGGAGAAGGGGATGGAATCTGGGAGAAGGGGGTGGAATCGAGGAGAAGGGGATGGAATCTGGGAGAAGGGGATGGAATCTGGGAGAAGGGGATGGAATCTGGGAGAAGGGGATGGAATCAGGGAGAAGGGGATGGAATCTGCGAGAAGGGGATGGAATCTGGGAGAAGGGGATGGATTCTGGGAAAGGGGATGGAATCTGGGAGAAGGGGGTGGAATCAGGGAGAAGGGGATGAAATCTGGGAGAAGGGGATGGAATCTGGGAGAAGGGGATGGAATATGGGAGAAGGGGATGGAATCTGGAAGAAGGGGATGGAATCTGGGAGAAGGGGATTGAATCAGGGAGAAGGGGATGGAATCTGGGAGAAGGGGGTGGAATCTGGGAGAAGGGGGTGGAATCTGGGAGAAGGGGATGGAATCTGGGAGAAGGGGATGGAATCTGGGAGAAGGGGATGGAATCTGGGAGAAGGGGATGGAATATGGAAGAAGGGGATGGAATCTGGGAGAACGGGATAGAATCTAGGAGAAGGGGATGGAATCTCGGAGAAGGGGATAGAATCCGGGAGAAGGGGATAGAATCTGGGAGAAGGGGATGGAATCAGGGAGAAGGGGATGGAATCTGGGAGAAGGGGATGGAATCTGGGAGAAGGGGATGGAATCTGGGAGAAGGGGATAGAATCTCGGAGAAGGGGATAGAATCTGGGAGAAGGGGATGGAATCTAGGAGAAGGGGATGGAATCAGGGAGAAGGGGATGGAATCTGAGAGAAGGGATGGAATCTGGGAGAAGGGGGTGGAATCTGGGAGAAGGGGATGGAATCTGGGAGAAGGGTATAGAATCTGGGAGAAGGGGATGAAATCTGGGAGAATGGGATGGAATTTGGGAGAAGGGGATGGAATCTGGGAGAAGGGGATGGAATCTGGGAGAAGGGGATGGAATCTGGGACAAGGGGATGGAATCTGGAAGAAGGGGGTGGAATCTGGGAGAAGGGGATGAACTCTAGGAGAAGGGGATGGAATCAGGGAGAAGGGGATGGAATCTGGGAGAAGGGGATGGAATCTGGGAGAAGGGGATGGAATCTGGGAGAATGGGATGGAATCTGGGAGAAGGGGATTGAATCAGGGAGAAGGGGATGGAATCTGGGAGAAGGGGGTGGAATCTGGGAGAAGGGGGTGGAATCTGGGAGAAGGGGATGGAATCTGGAAGAAGGGGATGGAATCTGGGAGAAGGGGATGGAATCTTGGAGAAGGGGATGGAATCTGGGAGAAGGGGATGGAATCTGGGAGAAGGGGATGGAATCTGGGAGAAGGGGATGGAATCTGGGAGAAGGGGATGGAATCTGAAAGAAGGGGATGGAATCTGGGAGAAGGGGATGGAATCTGGGAGAAGGGGATGGAATCTAGGAGAAGGGGATGGAATCAGGAAGAAGGGGATGGAATCTGGGAGAAGGGGGTGGAATCAGGGAGAAGGGGATGAAATCTGGGAGAAGGGGATGGAATCTAGGAGAAGGGGATGGAATCAGGGAGAAGGGGATGGAATCTGGGAGAAGGGGATGGAATCTGGGAGAAGGGGATGGAATCTGGGAGAAGGGGATGGAATCTAGGAGAAGGGGATGGAATGAGGGAGAAGGGGATGGAATCTGGGAGAAGGGGATGGAATCTGGGAGAAGGGGGTGGAATCTGGGAGAAGGGGATGTTACTGGGAGATAGGGATGGAATCTGGGAGAAGGGGATGGAATCTGGGAGAAGGGGATGGAATCAGGGAGAAGGGGATGGAATCTGGGAGAAGGGGATGGAATCTGGGAGAAGGGGATGGATTCTGTGAAAGGGGATGGAATCTGGGAGAAGGGGGTGGAATCAGGGAGAAGGGGATGAAATCTGGGAGAAGGGGATGGAATCTGGGAGAAGGGGATGGAATATGGGAGAAGGGGATGGAATCTGGGAGAAGGGGATGGAATCTGGGAGAAGGGGATGGAATCAGGGAGAAGGGTATGGAATCTGGGAGAAGGGGGTGGAATCTGGGAGAAGGGGGTGGAATCTGGGAGAAGGGGATGGAATCTGGGAGAAGGGGATGGAATCTGGGAGAAGGGGATGGAATCTGGGAGAAGGGGATGGAATCTAGAAGAAGGGGATGGAATCTGGGAGAACGGGATAGAATCTGGGAGAAGGGGATGGAATCTGGGAGAAGGGGATGGAATCTAGGAGAAGTGGATAGAATCTGGGAGAAAGGGATGGAATCAGGGAGAAGGGGATGGAATCTGGGAGAAGGGGATGGAATCAGGGAGAAGGGGATGGAATCTGGGAGAAGGGGATGGATTCTGGGAAAGGGGATGGAATCTGGGAGAAGGGGGTGGAATCAGGGAGAAGGGGATGAAATCTGGGAGAAGGGGATGGAATCTGGGAGAAGGGGATGGAATATGGGAGAAGGGGATGGAATCTGGAAGAAGGGGATGGAATCTGGGAGAAGGGGATGGAATCAGGGAGAAGGGGATGGAATCTGGGAGAAGGGGATGGAATCAGGGAGAAGGGGATGAAATCTGGGAGAAGGGGATGGAATCTAGGAGAAGGGGATGGAATAAGGGAGAAGGGGATGGAATCTGGGAGAAGGGGATGGAATCTGGGAGAAGGGGATGGAATCTGGGAGAATGGGATGGAATCTAGGAGAAGGGGATGGAATCAGGGAGAAGGGGATGGAATCTGGGAGAAGGGGATGGAATCTGGGAGAAGGGGGTGGAATCGAGGAGAAGGGGATGGAATCTGGGAGAAGGGGATGGAATCTGGGAGAAGGGGATGGAATCTGGGAGAAGGGGATGGAATCAGGGAGAAGGGGATGGAATCTGCGAGAAGGGGATGGAATCTGGGAGAAGGGGATGGATTCTGGGAAAGGGGATGGAATCTGGGAGAAGGGGGTGGAATCAGGGAGAAGGGGATGAAATCTGGGAGAAGGGGATGGAATCTGGGAGAAGGGGATGGAATATGGGAGAAGGGGATGGAATCTGGAAGAAGGGGATGGAATCTGGGAGAAGGGGATTGAATCAGGGAGAAGGGGATGGAATCTGGGAGAAGGGGGTGGAATCTGGGAGAAGGGGGTGGAATCTGGGAGAAGGGGATGGAATCTGGGAGAAGGGGATGGAATCTGGGAGAAGGGGATGGAATCTGGGAGAAGGGGATGGAATATGGAAGAAGGGGATGGAATCTGGGAGAACGGGATAGAATCTAGGAGAAGGGGATGGAATCTCGGAGAAGGGGATAGAATCCGGGAGAAGGGGATAGAATCTGGGAGAAGGGGATGGAATCAGGGAGAAGGGGATGGAATCTGGGAGAAGGGGATGGAATCTGGGAGAAGGGGATGGAATCTGGGAGAAGGGGATAGAATCTCGGAGAAGGGGATAGAATCTGGGAGAAGGGGATGGAATCTAGGAGAAGGGGATGGAATCAGGGAGAAGGGGATGGAATCTGAGAGAAGGGGATGGAATCTGGGAGAAGGGGGTGGAATCTGGGAGAAGGGGATGGAATCTGGGAGAAGGGTATAGAATCTGGGAGAAGGGGATGAAATCTGGGAGAATGGGATGGAATTTGGGAGAAGGGGATGGAATCTGGGAGAAGGGGATGGAATCTGGGAGAAGGGGATGGAATCTGGGACAAGAGGATGGAATCTGGAAGAAGGGGGTGGAATCTGGGAGAAGGGGATGAACTCTAGGAGAAGGGGATGGAATCAGGGAGAAGGGGATGGAATCTGGGAGAAGGGGATGGAATCTGGGAGAAGGGGATGGAATCTGGGAGAATGGGATGGAATCTGGGAGAAGGGGATTGAATCAGGGAGAAGGGGATGGAATCTGGGAGAAGGGGGTGGAATCTGGGAGAAGGGGGTGGAATCTGGGAGAAGGGGATGGAATCTGGAAGAAGGGGATGGAATCTGGGAGAAGGGGATGGAATCTTGGAGAAGGGGATGGAATCTGGGAGAAGGGGATGGAATCTGGGAGAAGGGGATGGAATCTGGGAGAAGGGGATGGAATCTGGGAGAAGGGGATGGAATCTGAAAGAAGGGGATGGAATCTGGGAGAAGGGGATGGAATCTGGGAGAAGGGGATGGAATCTAGGAGAAGGGGATGGAATCAGGAAGAAGGGGATGGAATCTGGGAGAAGGGGGTGGAATCAGGGAGAAGGGGATGAAATCTGGGAGAAGGGGATGGAATCTAGGAGAAGGGGATGGAATCAGGGAGAAGGGGATGGAATCTGGGAGAAGGGGATGGAATCTGGGAGAAGGGGATGGAATCTGGGAGAAGGGGATGGAATCTAGGAGAAGGGGATGGAATCAGGGAGAAGGGGATGGAATTTGGGAGAAGGGGATGGAATCTGGGAGAAGGGGGTGGAATCTGGGAGAAGGGGATGTTACTGGGAGATAGGGATGGAATCTGGGAGAAGGGGATGGAATCTGGGAGAAGGGGATGGAATCAGGGAGAAGGGGATGGAATCTGGGAGAAGGGGATGGAATCTGGGAGAAGGGGATGGATTCTGTGAAAGGGGATGGAATCTGGGAGAAGGGGGTGGAATCAGGGAGAAGGGGATGAAATCTGGGAGAAGGGGATGGAATCTGGGAGAAGGGGATGGAATATGGGAGAAGGGGATGGAATCTGGGAGAAGGGGATGGAATCTGGGAGAAGGGGATGGAATCAGGGAGAAGGGTATGGAATCTGGGAGAAGGGGGTGGAATCTGGGAGAAGGGGGTGGAATCTGGGAGAAGGGGATGGAATCTGGGAGAAGGGGATGGAATCTGGGAGAAGGGGATGGAATCTGGGAGAAGGGGATGGAATCTAGAAGAAGGGGATGGAATCTGGGAGAAGGGGATGGAATCTGGGAGAAGGGGATGGAATCTGAAAGAAGGGGATGGAATCTGGGAGAAGGGGATGGAATCTGGGAGAAGGGGATGGAATCTAGGAGAAGGGGATGGAATCAGGAAGAAGGGGATGGAATCTGGGAGAAGGGGGTGGAATCAGGGAGAAGGGGATGAAATCTGGGAGAAGGGGATGGAATCTAGGAGAAGGGGATGGAATCAGGGAGAAGGGGATGGAATCTGGGAGAAGGGGATGGAATCTGGGAGAAGGGGATGGAATCTGGGAGAAGGGGATGGAATCTAGGAGAAGGGGATGGAATCAGGGAGAAGGGGATGGAATCTGGGAGAAGGGGATGGAATCTGGGAGAAGGGGGTGGAATCAAGGAGAAGGGGATGTTACTGGGAGATAGGGATGGAATCTGGGAGAAGGGGATGGAATCTGGGAGAAGGGGATGGAATCAGGGAGAAGGGGATGGAATCTGGGAGAAGGGGATGGAATCTGGGAGAAGGGGATGGATTCTGTGAAAGGGGATGGAATCTGGGAGAAGGGGGTGGAATCAGGGAGAAGGGGATGAAATCTGGGAGAAGGGGATGGAATCTGGGAGAAGGGGATGGAATATGGGAGAAGGGGATGGAATCTGGGAGAAGGGGATGGAATCTGGGAGAAGGGGATGGAATCAGGGAGAAGGGTATGGAATCTGGGAGAAGGGGGTGGAATCTGGGAGAAGGGGGTGGAATCTGGGAGAAGGGGATGGAATCTGGGAGAAGGGGATGGAATCTGGGAGAAGGGGATGGAATCTGGGAGAAGGGGATGGAATCTAGAAGAAGGGGATGGAATCTGGGAGAACGGGATAGAATCTGGGAGAAGGGGATGGAATCTGGGAGAAGGGGATGGAATCTAGGAGACGTGGATAGAATCTGGGAGAAAGGGATGGAATCAGGGAGAAGGGGATGGAATCTGGGAGAAGGGGATGGAATCTGGGAGAAGGGGATGGAATCTGGGAGAAGGGGATAGAATCTGGGAGAAGGGGATAGAATCTGGGAGAAGGGGATGGAATCTAGGAGAAGGGGATGGAATCAGGGAGAAGGGGATGGAATCTGAGAGAAGGGGATGGAATCTGGGAGAAGGGGGTGGAATCTGGGAGAAGGGGATGGAATCTGGGAGAAGGGGATGGAATCTGGGAGAAGGGGATGGAATCTGGGAGAAGGGGATGGAATCTGGGAGAAGGGGATGGAATCAGGGAGAAGGGGATGGAATCTGGGAGAAGGGGATGGAATCTGGGAGAAAGGGATGGAATCTGGGAGAAGGGGATGGAATCTGGAAGAAGGGGATGGAATCTGGGAGAACGGGATGGAATCTGGGAGAAGGGGATGGAATCTGGGAGCAGGGGATGGAATCTGGGAGAAGGGGATAGAATCTGGGAGAAGGGGATGGAATCAGGGAGAAGGGGATGGAATCTGGGAGAAGGGGATGGAATCAGGGAGAAGGGGATGGAATCTGGGAGAAGGGGATAGAATCTGGGAGAAGGGGATAGAATCTGGGAGAAGGGGATGGAATCTAGGAGAAGGGGATGGAATCATGGAGAAGGGGATGGAATCTGAGAGAAGGGGATGGAATCTGGGAGAAGGGGGTGGAATCTAGGAGAAGGGGATGGAATCTGGGAGAAGGGGATGGAATCTGGGAGAAGGGGATGGAATCTGGGAGAAGGGGATGGAATCTGGGAGAAGGGGATGGAATCAGGGAGAAGGGGATGGAATCTGGGAGAAGGGGATGGAATCTGGGAGAAGGGGATGGAATCTGGGAGAAGGGGATGGAATCTGGGAGAAGGGGATTGAATCAGGGAGAAGGGGATGGGATCTGGGAGAAGGGGGTGGAATCTGGAAGAAGGGGATGGAATCTGGGAGAAGGGGATGGAATCAGGGAGAAGGGGATGGAATCTGGGAGAAGGGGATGGAATCTGGGAGAAGGGGATGGAATCTGGGAGAAGGGGATAGAATCTGGGAGAAGGGGATAGAATCTGGGAGAAGGGGATGCTTTCCATCACCCCGCCCCATTCTCCCGCTTTCCATCACCCCGCCCCATTCTCCCGCTTTCTATCACCCCGCCCCATTCTCCCGCTTTCCATCACCCCGCCCCATTCTCCAGCTTCCCATCACCCCACCCCATTCTCCCGCTTCCCATCAACCCGCCCCATTCACCCGCTTTCTATCACCCGTCCCCATTCTTCCTCCTTCCATCACCCCGCCCCATTCTCCCGCTTTCCATCACCCCGCCCCATTCTCCCGCTTTCCATCACCTTGCCCCATTCTCCCACTTTTTATCACCCCGCCCCATTCTCCTGCTTTCCATCGCCCCGCCCGATTCTCCCTCCTTCCATCACCCCACACCATTCTCCCGCATTCTATCACCCCGCCCCATTCTCCTGCTTTCCATCACCCTGCCCCATTCTCTCGCTTTCTATCATCTGTCCCCATTCTCCCTCCTTCCATCACCCCGCCCCATTCTCCCGCTTTCCATCACTCCGCCCCATTCTCCCGCTTTCCATCACCTCGCCCCATTCTCCTGCTTTCCATCACCCCGCCCCATTCTCCCTCTTTCCATCACCCCGCCCCATTCTCCCGCTTTCTATCACCCCACCCCATTCTCCCGCTTTCCATCACCCCGCCCCATTCTCCCTCTTTCCATCACCCCACCCCATTCTCCCGCCTTTCATCACCCCGCCCCATTCTCCCGCTTTCCATCACCGCGCCCAATTCTCCCGCTTTCCATCACCCCGCCCCATTCCCGCCTTCCATCACCCCGCCCCATTCTCCCTCTTTCCATCACCCCGCCCCATTCTCACGCTTTCCATCACCCCGCCCCATTCTCCCGTTTTCCATCACCCCGCCCCATTCTCTCGCTTTCCATCACCCCGCCTTATTCTCCCGCTTTCCATCACCCCGCCCCATTCTCCCGATTTCCATCACCCCGCCCCATTCTCCCGCTTTCCATCACCCCGCCCCATTCTCCCACTTTCCATCACCCCGCCCCATTCTCCCGCTTTCCAACACCCCGACCCATTCTCCCTCTTTCCATCACCCTGCACCATTCTCCCTCTTTCCATCAACCCGCCCCATTCTCCCTCTGTCCATCACCCCGCCCCATTCTCCCGCTTTCCATCACCCCGCGCCATTTTCCCTCTTTCTATCACCCCGCCCCATTCTCCCGCTTTCCATCACCCTGCCCCATTCTCCCGCTTACCATCACCCCGCTCCATTGTCCCGCTTTCCATCACCCCGCCCGATTCTCCCTCTTTCCATCACCCCTCCCCATTCTCCCTCTTTCCATCACCCCGCCCCATTCTCCCGCTTTCCATCACCCCGCCCCATTCTCCCTCTTTCCATCACCCCGCCCCATTCTCCCTCTTTCCATCACCCCGCCCCATTCTCCCGCTCTCTATCACCCCACCCCATTCTCTCGCTTTCCATCACCCCGTCCTGTTCTCCCTCTTTCCATCACCCCGCCCCATTCTCCCGCCTTTCATCACCCCGCCCCATTCTCCCGCTTTCCATCACCACGCCCCATTCTCCCGCCTTCCATCACCCCGCCCCGTTCTCCCTCTTTCCATCACCCCGCCCCATTCTCACGCTTTCCATCACCCTGCTCCATTCTCCCTCTTTCCATCACCCGCCCCATTCTCCCGCTTTCCATCACCCCGCCCCATTCTCACTCTATCCATCACCCCGCCCAATTCTCCCACTTTCCATCACCCCGTCCCATTCTCCCGTTTTCCATCACCCCGCCCCATTCTCTCGCTTTCCATCACCCCGCCTTATTCTCCCGCTTTCCATCACCCCGACCCATTCTCCCGATTTCCATCACCCCGCCCCATTCTCCCGCTTTCCATCACCTCGCCCCATTCTCCCGCTTTCCATCACCCCGCCCCATTCTCCCGCTTTCCAACACCTCGCCCCATTCTCCCGCTTTCCATCACCCCGCCCCATTCTCACTCTTTCCATCACCCCGCCCCATTCTCCCTCTTTCCATCACCACGCCCCATTCTCCCGCTTTCCATCACCCCGCCCCATTCTCCGTCTTTCCATAACCCCGCCCCATTCTCCCGCTTTCCATCACCCCGCCCCATTCTCCCTCTTTCCATCACCCCGCCCCATTCTCCCTCTTTCCATCACCCCGCCCCATTCTCCCGCTTTCCATCACCCCGCCCCATTCTCCCTCTTTCCATAACCCCGCCCTATTCTCCCGCTTTCCATCACCCCGCCCCATTCTCCCTCTTTCCATCACCCCGCCCTGTACTCCCGCTTACCATCACTCCGTCCCATTCTCCCGCTTTCCATCACGCCGCCCCATTCTCCCGCTTTCTATCACCCCGCCCCATTCTCCCGCTTTCCATCACCCTGCCCCATTCTCCCGCTTTCCATCACCCCGCCCCATTCTCCCGCTTTCCATCACCCCGCCCCATTCTCCCGCGTTCCATCACCCCGCTCCATTCTCCCGCTTTCCATCACCCCTCCCCATTCTCTCGCTTTCCATCACCCCTCCCCAATATCTCGCTTTCCATCACCCCGCCCCATTCTCTCGCTTTCCAGCACCCCGCCTCATTCTCCCGCTTTCCATCACCCCGCCCCATTCTCCCGCTCTCCATCACCCCGCCCCATTTTCCCGCTTTCCAGCACCCCGCCCCATTCTCCCGCTTTCCATCACCCCGCCCCATTCTCCCCCTTTCCATCACCCCGCCCCATTCTCCCGCTTTCCATCACCCGCCCCATTCTCCCGCTTTCCATCACCCCGCCCCATTCTCCCGCTTTCCATCACCCCACCCCATTCTCCCTCTTTCCATCACCCCGCCCCGTTCTCCCGCTTTCCATCACCCCGCCCCCTTCTCCCGCTTTCCATCACCCCACCCCCTTCTCCCACTTTCTATCACCCCTCCCTATTCTCTCGCTTTCCATCACCCCTCCCCATTCTCTCGCTTTCCATCACCCCGCCCCATTCTCCAGCTTTCCATCACCCCGCCCCATTCTCCCGCTCTACATCAACCCGCCCCATTTTCCCGCTTTCCAGCACCCCGCCCCATTCTCCCGCTTTCCATCACCCCGCCCCATTCTCCCCCTTTCCATCACCCCGCCCCATTCTCCCGTTCTCCATCACCCGCCCCATTCTCCCGCTTTCCATCACCCCGCCCCCTTCTCGCGCTTTCCATCACCCCGCCCCATTCTCCCGCTTTCCATCACCCCGCCCCATTCTCCCGCTTTCCATCACCCCGCCCTATTCTCCCGCTTTCCATCACCTTACCCGATTCTCCTGCTTTCCATCTCCCCGCCCCATTCTCCCTCTTTCCATCACCCCACCCCATTCTCCCACTTTTGATCACCCCGCCCCATTCTCCCTCTTTCCATCACCCCGCCCCATTCTCCCTCCTTCCATCACCCCGCCAAATTCTCCCGCTTTCCATCACCCCACCCTATTCTCCCGCTTTCCATCACCCCGCCCCATTCTCCCGCTTTCCATCACCCCGCCCCATTCTCCCGCTTTCCATCAACCCGCCCCATTCTCCCGCTTTCCATGACCCCGCCCCATTCTCCCGCTTTCCATCACCCCGCCCCATTCTCCCTCTTTCCATCACCCCGCCCTGTTCTCCCGCTTTCCATCACCCCGCCCCCTTCTCCCGCTTTCCATCACCCCACCCCCTTCTCCCGCTTTCCATCACCCTGCCCCTTCTCCCACTTTCCATCACCCCGCCCCATTCTTCCGCTTTCCATCACTCCGCCCCATTCTCCCGCTTTCCATTACCCCACCCCATTCTCCCGCTTTCCATCACCCCGCCCCATTCTCCCGCTTTCCATCACCCCGCCCCATTCTCCCGCCTTCCATCACCCCGCCCCAATCTCCCGCTTTCCATCACCCCGCCCCAATCTCCCGCCTTCCATCACCCCGCCCCAATCTCCCGCTTTCCATCACCCCGCCCCATTCTCCCTCTTTCCATCACACCGCCCCATTCTCCCGCTTTCCATCGCCCCAGCCCATTCTCCCTCCTTCCATCACCTCGCCCCATTCTCCCTCCTTCCATCACCCCGCCCAATTCTCCCTCCTTCCATCACCCCGTCCCATGATCCCCCTTCCATCACCCCGCCCCATTCTCCCGGTTTCCATCACCCCGCCCCATTCTCCCCCTTTCCATCACCCCGCCCCATTCTCCCGCTTTCCATCACCCCGCCCCATTCTCCCTCTTTCCATCACCCCGCCCCATTCTCCCTCTTTCCATCACCCCGACCCATTCTCCCTCTTTCCATCACCCCGCCCTGTTCTCCCACTTACCATCACTCCGTCCCATTCTCCCGCTTTTCATCACGCCGCCCCATTCTCCCGCTTTCCATCACCCCGCCCCATTCTCTCGCTTTCCAGCACCCCGCCCCATTCTCCCGCTTTCCATCACCCTGCCCCATTCTCCCGCTTTCCGTCACCCCGCCCCATTCTCCCGCTTTCCATCACCCCACCCCCTTCTCCCACTTTCTATCACCCCTCCCTATTCTCTCGCTTTCCATCACCCCTCCCCATTCTCTCGCTTTCCATCACCCCGCCCCATTCTCCAGCTTTCCATCACCCCGCCCCATTCTCCCGCTCTACATCACCCCGCCCCATTTTCCCGCTTTCCAGCACCCCGCCCCATTCTCCCGCTCTCCATCACCCCGCCCCATTTTCCCGCTTTCCAGCACCCCGCCCCATTCTCCCGCTTTCCATCACCCCGCCCCATTCTCCCGTTTTCCATCACCCGCCCCATTCTCCCGCTTTCCATCACCCCGCCCCATTCTCGCGCTTTCCATCACCCCGCCCCATTCTCCCGCTTTCCATCACCCCGCCCCATTCTCCCGCTTTCCATCACCCCGGCCTATTCTCCCGCTTTCCATCACCTTGCCCGATTCTCCTGCTTTCCATCTCCCCGCCCCATTCTCCCTCTTTCCATCACCCCACCCCATTCTCCCGCTTTTGATCACCCCGCCCCATTCTCCCTCTTTCCATCACCCCGCCCCATTCTCCCTCCTTCCATCACCCCGCCAAATTCTCCCGCTTTCCATCACCCCACCCTATTCTCCCGCTTTCCATCACCCCGCCCCATTCTCCCGCTTTCCATCACCCCGCCCCATTCTCCCGCTTTCCATCATCCCGCCCCATTCTCCCGCTTTCCATGACCCCGCCCCATTCTCCCGCTTTCCATCACCCCGCCCCATTCTCCCTCTTTCCATCACCCCGCCCTGTTCTCCCGCTTTCCATCACCCCGCCCCCTTCTCCCGCTTTCCATCACCCCACCCCCTTCTCCCGCTTTCCATCACCCTGCCCCTTCTCCCGCTTTCCATCACCCCGCCCCATTCTTCCGCTTTCCATCACTCCGCCCCATTCTCCCGCTTTCCATTACCTCGCCCCATTCTCCCGCTTTCCATCACCCCGCCCCATTCTCCCGCTTTCCATCACCCCGCCCCAATCTCCCGCCTTCCATCACCCCGCCCCAATCTCCCGCTTTCCATCACCCCGCCCCATTCTCCCTCTTTCCATCACTCCGCCCCATTCTCCCGCTTTCCATCGCCCCGGCCCATTCTCCCTCCTTCCATCACCTCGCCCCATTCTCCCTCCTTCCATCACCCTGCCCAATTCTCCCTCCTTCCATCACCCCGTCCCATTCTCCCGCTTCCATCACCCCGCCCCATTCTCCCGCTTTCCATCACCCCGCCCCATTCTCCCCCTTTCCATCACCCCGCCCCATTCTCCCGCTTTCCATCACCCCGCCCCATTCTCCCTGTTTCCATCACCCCGCCCCATTCTCCCTCTTTCCATCACCCCGCCCTGTTCTCCCGCTTACCATCACTCCGTCCCATTCTCCCGCTTTTCATCACGCCGCCCCATTCTCCCGCTTTCCATCACCCCGCCCCATTCTCCCGCTTTCCATCACCCTGCCCCATTCTCCCGCTTTCCGTCACCCCGCCCCATTCTCCCGCTTTCCATCACCCCGCCCCATTCTCCCGCGTTCCATCACCCCGCTCCATTCTCCCGCTTTCCATCACCCCTCCCCATTCTCTCGCTTTCCATCACCCCTCCCGAATATCTCGCTTTCCATCACCCCGCCCCATTCTCTCGCTTTCCAGCACCCCGCCCCCTTCTTCCGCTTTCCATCACCCCGCCCCATTCTCCCGCTCTCCATCACCCCGCCCCATTTTCCCGCTTTCCAGCACCCCGCCCCATTCTCCGGCTTTCCATCACCCCGCCCCATTCTCCCCCTTTCCATCACCCCGCCCCATTCTCCCGCTTTCCATCACCCGCCCCATTCTCCCGCTTTCCATCACCCCGCCCCATTCTCCCTCTTTCCATCACCCCGCCCCGTTCTCCCGCTTTCCATCACCCCGCCCCCTTCTCCCGCTTTCCATCACCCCACCCCCTTCTCCCGCTTTCCATCACCCCTCCCCATTCTCTCGCTTTCCATCACCCCTCCCCATTCTCTCGCTTTCCATCACCCCGCCCCATTCTCTCGCTTTCATGCACACCGCCCCATTCTCCCGCTTTCCATCACCCCGCCCCATTCTCCCGCTCTCCATCACCCCGCCCCATTTTCCCGCTTTCCAGCACCCCGCCCCATTCTCCCGCTTTCCATCAACCCGCCCCATTCTCCCCCTTTCCATCACCCCGCCCCATTCTCCCGCTTTCCATCACCCGCCCCATTCTCCCGCTTTCCATCACCCCGCCCCATTCTCCCGCTTTCCATCACCCCGCCCCATTCTCCCGCTTTCCATCACCCCGCCCCATTCTCCCGCTTTCCATCACCCCGCCCTATTCTCCCGCTTTCCATCACCTTGCCCGATTCTCCTGGTTTCCATCTCCCCGCCCCATTCTCCCTCTTTCCATCACCCCACCCCATTCTCCCGCTTTTGATCACCCCGCCCCATTCTCCCTCTTTCCATCACCCCGCCCCATTCTCCCTCCTTCCATCACCCCGCCAAATTCTCCCGCTTTCCATCATCCCACCCTATTCTCCCGCTTTCCATCACCCCGCCCCATTCTCCCGCTTTCCATCACCCCGCCCCATTCTCCCGCTTTCCATCAACCCGCCCCATTCTCCCGCTTTCCATGACCCCGCCCCATTCTCCCGCTTTCCATCACCCCGCCCCATTCTCCCTCTTTCCATCACCCCGCCCTGTTCTCCCGCTTTCCATCACCCCACCCCCTTCTTCCGCTTTCCATCACCCCACCCCCTTCTCCCGCTTTCCATCACCCTGCCCTTCTCCCGCTTTCCATCACCCCACCCCATTCTCCCGCTTTCTATCACCCCGCCCCATTCTCCCGCTTTCCATCACCCCGCCCCATTCTCCCGCTTTCCATCACCCCGCCCCGTTCTCCCGCTTTCCATCACCCCGCCCCGTTCTCTTGCTTTCCATCACCCCGCCCCGTTCTCCCGCTTTCCATCACCCCGCCCCATTCTTCCCCTTTCCATCACCCCGCCCCGTTCTCCCGCTTTCCATCATCCCGCCCCATTCTTCCGCTTTCCATCACCCCGCCCCATTCTCCCCCTTTCCATCACCCCGCCCCATTCTCCCCCTTTCCATCACCCCGCCCCATTCTCCCCTTTCCATCACCCCGCCCCATTCTCCCGCTTTCCATTACCCCGCCCCATTCTCCCTCCTTCCATCACCCCGCCCCATTCTCCCGCTTTCCATCACCCCGCCCCATTCTCCCTCCTTCCATCACCCCGCCCCAATTTCCCTCCTTCCATCACCCTGCCCCATTCTCCCTCCTTCCATCACCCCGCCCCATTCTCACGCTTCCATCACCCCGCCCCATCCTCCCGCTTTCCATCACCCCGCCCCATTCTCCCCCTTTCCATCACCCCGCCCCATTCTCCCGCTTTCCATTACCCCGCCCCATTCTCCCTCCTTCCATCACCCCGCCCCATTCTCCCACTTTCCATCACCCCGCCCCATTCTCCCTCCTTCCATCACCCCGCCCCAGTTTCCCTCATTCCATCACCCTGCCCCATTCTCCCTCCTTCCATCACCCCGCCCCATTCTCATGCTTCCATCACCCCGCCCCATTCTCCCACTTTCCATCACCCCGCCCCATTCTCCCGCTTTCCAACACCCCGACCCATTCTCCCGCTTTCCATCACCCTGCACCATTCTCCCTCTTTCCATCAACCCGCCCCATTCTCCCTCTGTCCATCACCCCGCCCCATTCTCCCGCTTTCCATCACCCCGCGCCATTTTCCCTCTTTCTATCACCCCGCCCCATTCTCCCGCTTTCCATCACCCTGCCCCATTCTCCCGCTTACCATCACCCCGCTCCATTGTCCCGCTTTCCATCACCCCGCCCGATTCTCCCTCTTTCCATCACCCCTCCCCATTCTCCCTCTTTCCATCACCCCGCCCCATTCTCCCGCTTTCCATCACCCCGCCCCATTCTCCCTCTTTCCATCACCCCGCCCCATTCTCCCTCTTTCCATCACCCCGCCCCATTCTCCCGCTCTCTATCACCCCACCCCATTCTCTCGCTTTCCATCACCCCGTCCTGTTCTCCCTCTTTCCATCACCCCGCCCCATTCTCCCGCCTTTCATCACCCCGCCCCATTCTCCCGCTTTCCATCACCCCGCCCCATTCTCCCGCCTTCCATCACCCCGCCCCGTTCTCCCTCTTTCCATCACCCCGCCCCATTCTCACGCTTTCCATCACCCTGCTCCATTCTCCCTCTTTCCATCACCCGCCCCATTCTCCCGCTTTCCATCACCCCGCCCCATTCTCACTCTATCCATCACCCCGCCCAATTCTCCCACTTTCCATCACCCCGTCCCATTCTCCCGTTTTCCATCACCCCGCCCCATTCTCTCGCTTTCCATCACCCCGCCTTATTCTCCCGCTTTCCATCACCCCGACCCATTCTCCCGATTTCCATCACCCCGCCCCATTCTCCCGCTTTCCATCACCTCGCCCCATTCTCCCGCTTTCCATCACCCCGCCCCATTCTCCCGCTTTCCAACACCTCGCCCCATTCTCCCGCTTTCCATCACCCCGCCCCATTCTCACTCTTTCCATCACCCCGCCCCATTCTCCCTCTTTCCATCACCACGCCCCATTCTCCCGCTTTCCATCACCCCGCCCCATTCTCCGTCTTTCCATAACCCCGCCCCATTCTCCCGCTTTCCATCACCCCGCCCCATTCTCCCTCTTTCCATCACCCCGCCACATTCTCCCTCTTTCCATCACCCCGCCCCATTCTCCCGCTTTCCATCACCCCGCCCCATTCTCCCTCTTTCCATCACCCCGCCCTGTACTCCCGCTTACCATCACTCCGTCCCATTCTCCCGCTTTCCATCACGCCGCCCCATTCTCCCGCTTTCTATCACCCCGCCCCATTCTCCCGCTTTCCATCACCCTGCCCCATTCTCCCGCTTTCCATCACCCCGCCCCATTCTCCCGCTTTCCATCACCCCGCCCCATTCTCCCGCGTTCCATCACCCCGCTCCATTCTCCCGCTTTCCATCAACCCTCCCCATTCTCTCGCTTTCCATCACCCCTCCCCAATATCTCGCTTTCCATCACCCCGCCCCATTCTCTCGCTTTCCAGCACCCCGCCTCATTCTCCCGCTTTCCATCACCCCGCCCCATTCTCCCGCTCTCCATCACCCCGCCCCATTTTCCCGCTTTCCAGCACCCCGCCCCATTCTCCCGCTTTCCATCACCCCGCCCCATTCTCCCCCTTTCCATCACCCCGCCCCATTCTCCCGCTTTCCATCACCCGCCCCATTCTCCCGCTTTCCATCACCCCGCCCCATTCTCCCGCTTTCCATCACCCCACCCCATTCTCCCTCTTTCCATCACCCCGCCCCGTTCTCCCGCTTTCCATCACCCCGCCCCCTTCTCCCGCTTTCCATCACCCCACCCCCTTCTCCCACTTTCTATCACCCCTCCCTATTCTCTCGCTTTCCATCACCCCTCCCCATTCTCTCGCTTTCCATCACCCCGCCCCATTCTCCAGCTTTCCATCACCCCGCCCCATTCTCCCGCTCTACATCACCCCGCCCCATTTTCCCGCTTTCCAGCACCCCGCCCCATTCTCCCGCTTTCCATCACCCCGCCCCATTCTCCCCCTTTCCATCACCCCGCCCCATTCTCCCGTTCTCCATCACCCGCCCCATTCTCCCGCTTTCCATCACCCCGCCCCCTTCTCGCGCTTTCCATCACCCCGCCCCATTCTCCCGCTTTCCATCACCCCGCCCCATTCTCCCGCTTTCCATCACCCCGCCCTATTCTCCCGCTTTCCATCACCTTACCCGATTCTCCTGCTTTCCATCTCCCCGCCCCATTCTCCCTCTTTCCATCACCCCACCCCATTCTCCCACTTTTGATCACCCCGCCCCATTCTCCCTCTTTCCATCACCCCGCCCCATTCTCCCTCCTTCCATCACCCCGCCAAATTCTCCCGCTTTCCATCACCCCACCCTATTCTCCCGCTTTCCATCACCCCGCCCCATTCTCCCGCTTTCCATCACCCCGCCCCATTCTCCCGCTTTCCATCAACCCGCCCCATTCTCCCGCTTTCCATGACCCCGCCCCATTCTCCCGCTTTCCATCACCCCGCCCCATTCTCCCTCTTTCCATCACCCCGCCCTGTTCTCCCGCTTTCCATCACCCCGCCCCCTTCTCCCGCTTTCCATCACCCCACCCCCTTCTCCCGCTTTCCATCACCCTGCCCCTTCTCCCACTTTCCATCACCCCGCCCCATTCTTCCGCTTTCCATCACTCCGCCCCATTCTCCCGCTTTCCATTACCCCGCCCCATTCTCCCGCTTTCCATCACCCCGCCCCATTCTCCCGCTTTCCATCACCCCGCCCCAATCTCCCGCCTTCCATCACCCCGCCCCAATCTCCCGCTTTCCATCACCCCGCCCCAATCTCCCGCCTTCCATCACCCCGCCCCAATCTCCCGCTTTCCATCACCCCGCCCCATTCTCCCTCTTTCCATCACACCGCCCCATTCTCCCGCTTTCCATCGCCCCAGCCCATTCTCCCTCCTTCCATCACCTCGCCCCATTCTCCCTCCTTCCATCACCCCGCCCAATTCTCCCTCCTTCCATCACCCCGTCCCATGATCCCCCTTCCATCACCCCGCCCCATTCTCCCGGTTTCCATCACCCCGCCCCATTCTCCCCCTTTCCATCACCCCGCCCCATTCTCCCGCTTTCCATCACCCCGCCCCATTCTCCCTCTTTCCATCACCCCGCCCCATTCTCCCTCTTTCCATCACCCCGACCCATTCTCCCTCTTTCCATCACCCCGCCCTGTTCTCCCACTTACCATCACTCCGTCCCATTCTCCCGCTTTTCATCACGCCGCCCCATTCTCCCGCTTTCCATCACCCCGCCCCATTCTCTCGCTTTCCAGCACCCCGCCCCATTCTCCCGCTTTCCATCACCCTGCCCCATTCTCCCGCTTTCCGTCACCCCGCCCCATTCTCCCGCTTTCCATCACCCCACCCCCTTCTCCCACTTTCTATCACCCCTCCCTATTCTCTCGCTTTCCATCACCCCTCCCCATTCTCTCGCTTTCCATCACCCCGCCCCATTCTCCAGCTTTCCATCACCCCGCCCCATTCTCCCGCTCTACATCACCCCGCCCCATTTTCCCGCTTTCCAGCACCCCGCCCCATTCTCCCGCTCTCCATCACCCCGCCCCATTTTCCCGCTTTCCAGCACCCCGCCCCATTCTCCCGCTTTCCATCACCCCGCCCCATTCTCCCGTTTTCCATCACCCACCCCATTCTCCCGCTTTCCATCACCCCGCCCCATTCTCGCGCTTTCCATCACCCCGCCCCATTCTCCCGCTTTCCATCACCCCGCCCCATTCTCCCGCTTTCCATCACCCCGGCCTATTCTCCCGCTTTCCATCACCTTGCCCGATTCTCCTGCTTTCCATCTCCCCGCCCCATTCTCCCTCTTTCCATCACCCCACCCCATTCTCCCGCTTTTGATCACCCCGCCCCATTCTCCCTCTTTCCATCACCCCGCCCCATTCTCCCTCCTTCCATCACCCCGCCAAATTCTCCCGCTTTCCATCACCCCACCCTATTCTCCCGCTTTCCATCACCCCGCCCCATTCTCCCGCTTTCCATCACCCCGCCCCATTCTCCCGCTTTCCATCAACCCGCCCCATTCTCCCGCTTTCCATGACCCCGCCCCATTCTCCCGCTTTCCATCACCCCGCCCCATTCTCCCTCTTTCCATCACCCCGCCCTGTTCTCCCGCTTTCCATCACCCCGCCCCCTTCTCCCGCTTTCCATCACCCCACCCCCTTCTCCCGCTTTCCATCACCCTGCCCCTTCTCCCGCTTTCCATCACCCCGCCCCATTCTTCCGCTTTCCATCACTCCGCCCCATTCTCCCGCTTTCCATTACCTCGCCCCATTCTCCCGCTTTCCATCACCCCGCCCCATTCTCCCGCTTTCCATCACCCCGCCCCAATCTCCCGCCTTCCATCACCCCGCCCCAATCTCCCGCTTTCCATCACCCCGCCCCATTCTCCCTCTTTCCATCACTCCGCCCCATTCTCCCGCTTTCCATCGCCCCGGCCCATTCTCCCTCCTTCCATCACCTCGCCCCATTCTCCCTCCTTCCATCACCCTGCCCAATTCTCCCTCCTTCCATCACCCCGTCCCATTCTCCCGCTTCCATCACCCCGCCCCATTCTCCCGCTTTCCATCACCCCGCCCCATTCTCCCCCTTTCCATCACCCCGCCCCATTCTCCCGCTTTCCATCACCCCGCCCCATTCTCCCTGTTTCCATCACCCCGCCCTATTCTCCCTCTTTCCATCACCCCGCCCTGTTCTCCCGCTTACCATCACTCCGTCCCATTCTCCCGCTTTTCATCACGCCGCCCCATTCTCCCGCTTTCCATCACCCCGCCCCATTCTCCCGCTTTCCATCACCCTGCCCCATTCTCCCGCTTTCCGTCACCCCGCCCCATTCTCCCGCTTTCCATCACCCCGCCCCATTCTCCCGCGTTCCATCACCCCGCTCCATTCTCCCGCTTTCCATCACCCCTCCCCATTCTCTCGCTTTCCATCACCCCTCCCGAATATCTCGCTTTCCATCACCCCGCCCCATTCTCTCGCTTTCCAGCACCCCGCCCCCTTCTTCCGCTTTCCATCACCCCGCCCCATTCTCCCGCTCTCCATCACCCCGCCCCATTTTCCCGCTTTCCAGCACCCCGCCCCATTCTCCGGCTTTCCATCACCCCGCCCCATTCTCTCCCTTTCCATCACCCCGCCCCATTCTCCCGCTTTCCATCACCCGCCCCATTCTCCCGCTTTCCATCACCCCGCCCCATTCTCCCTCTTTCCATCACCCCGCCCCGTTCTCCCGCTTTCCATCACCCCGCCCCCTTCTCCCGCTTTCCATCACCCCACCCCCTTCTCCCGCTTTCCATCACCCCTCCCCATTCTCTCGCTTTCCATCACCCCTCCCCATTCTCTCGCTTTCCATCACCCCGCCCCATTCTCTCGCTTTCATGCACACCGCCCCATTCTCCCGCTTTCCATCACCCCGCCCCATTCTCCCGCTCTCCATCACCCCGCCCCATTTTCCCGCTTTCCAGCACCCCGCCCCATTCTCCCGCTTTCCATCAACCCGCCCCATTCTCCCCCTTTCCATCACCCCGCCCCATTCTCCCGCTTTCCATCACCCGCCCCATTCTCCCGCTTTCCATCACCCCGCCCCATTCTCCCGCTTTCCATCACCCCGCCCCATTCTCCCGCTTTCCATCACCCCGCCCCATTCTCCCACTTTCCATCACCCCGCCCTATTCTCCCGCTTTCCATCACCTTGCCCGATTCTCCTGGTTTCCATCTCCCCGCCCCATTCTCCCTCTTTCCATCACCCCACCCCATTCTCCCGCTTTTGATCACCCCGCCCCATTCTCCCTCTTTCCATCACCCCGCCCCATTCTCCCTCCTTCCATCACCCCGCCAAATTCTCCCGCTTTCCATCATCCCACCCTATTCTCCCGCTTTCCATCACCCCGCCCCATTCTCCCGCTTTCCATCACCCCGCCCCATTCTCCCGCTTTCCATCAACCCGCCCCATTCTCCCGCTTTCCATGACCCCGCCCCATTCTCCCGCTTTCCATCACCCCGCCCCATTCTCCCTCTTTCCATCACCCCGCCCTGTTCTCCCGCTTTCCATCACCCCACCCCCTTCTTCCGCTTTCCATCACCCCACCCCCTTCTCCCGCTTTCCATCACCCTGCCCTTCTCCCGCTTTCCATCACCCCACCCCATTCTCCCGCTTTCTATCACCCCGCCCCATTCTCCCGCTTTCCATCACCCCGCCCCATTCTCCCGCTTTCCATCACCCCGCCCCGTTCTCCCGCTTTCCATCACCCCGCCCCGTTCTCTTGCTTTCCATCACCCCGCCCCGTTCTCCCGCTTTCCATCACCCCGCCCCATTCTTCCCCTTTCCATCACCCCGCCCCGTTCTCCCGCTTTCCATCATCCCGCCCCATTCTTCCGCTTTCCATCACCCCGCCCCATTCTCCCCCTTTCCATCACCCCGCCCCATTCTCCCCCTTTCCATCACCCCGCCCCATTCTCCCCCTTTCCATCACCCCGCCCCATTCTCCCGCTTTCCATTACCCCGCCCCATTCTCCCTCCTTCCATCACCCCGCCCCATTCTCCCGCTTTCCATCACCCCGCCCCATTCTCCCTCCTTCCATCACCCCGCCCCAATTTCCCTCCTTCCATCACCCTGCCCCATTCTCCCTCCTTCCATCACCCCGCCCCATTCTCACGCTTCCATCACCCCGCCCCATCCTCCCGCTTTCCATCACCCCGCCCCATTCTCCCCCTTTCCATCACCCCGCCCCATTCTCCCGCTTTCCATTACCCCGCCCCATTCTCCCTCCTTCCATCACCCCGCCCCATTCTCCCACTTTCCATCACCCCGCCCCATTCTCCCTCCTTCCATCACCCCGCCCCAGTTTCCCTCATTCCATCACCCTGCCCCATTCTCCCTCCTTCCATCACCCCGCCCCATTCTCATGCTTCCATCACCCTGCCCCATTCTCCCGCTTTCGATCACCGGGCCCCATTCTCCCGCTTTCCATCACCCCGCCCCATTCCCTCGCTTTCCATATGCACCATCATTCAAGTCGTTCGATGTTTTTCCCTACGCAAACGCCTATAGGGATCCATGTGCTTCCTTAGCGTTTTGTCAGACTAATATGTAATTCTATGTATTGTTCTATAACTGCCTGTAGTGTAGGATACTATAGTCATATAACTTTCTTGTTGGTGGTGCACCTTGCATGCTCTGTTTGCTATATGTACTCTTGTGCTTTAGTGAACAACACATTCTCCTTACTCTCGACCTCTCAACTACTAAGCTCCTAAGCTATGGCTCCTAAGCCTTCTTAGTCTCTTTAACATGTTATCAGAGTGGTTCCTATCCTAGGACCTATTTTTTTTTTCCCATGGGCCCACCGCATATCGCTCCTGCCATGGCGCTCGTCGCTCCTGCCATGGCGCTCGTGCGCAACACCTTTTTTCTTCCCGCCACGCGCCCCGCCGGCCGTGCGCCCCGGGCGCGCGGCGTCTTCCTGCCCCGTCGCCGCCCTTCTCGGCCCCTCACGGCCTCTTCGCGGCCCCGTCGCTGCTCCTCTCACGGCCCCTCGCACCACCCTTAGAGGCCCCGTCGCCAAATTTCGCGGCCCTGTCGCCGCCCCTATCGGCCCTGTCGCCGCCCCTATCGGCCCTGTCGCCACTCCTAGCGGCCCCGTCGCCGCCCCTAGCGGCCCTGTCGCCGCCCTTCTCGTCCCCTCGCGGCCCCTTCGCAGCCCTGTCGCCGCCCCTTCTCGACCCCGTCGCCGCCCTTAGCGGCCCCGTTGCCGCCCCTAGCGGCCCCGTCGCCGCCCTTCTCGGCCCAGTCGCCGCCCCTCACGGCTCCGTTGCCGCCCCTAGTTGCCCCGTCACCTGCTCGCCGCGGCGCATCCCCCCCTGGCCGCCGCCTCTGCCTCCCCTGCGCCCGCGCTTGCTTTGCAGCAGCGCGCGGGCCTGCTTTGCACCAGCGACGCCGCCCCTGCAGCAGCAGCCCCTGGAGCAGCCGCCCTAGCAGCAGCCGCCCCTGGAGCAGCTGTCACTACAGCAGCCGCCCCTGGAGCAGCCGCCACTGCAGCAGCCGCCCCTGGAGCAGCTAGCCCTGCAGCAGCAGCTCCTAGCCCCTGGAGCAGCCGCCGCTGCAGCAGCCGCCCCTGGCCCCTGGAGCAGCCGCACCTGCAGCCGCCCCTGGCCCCTGGAGCAGCCGCCCCTGCAGCAGCCGCCCCTGGCCACTGGAGCAGCCACCACTGCAGGAACCGCCCCTGGCCCCTGGAGCAGCCGCCCCTGGAGCAGCTGCCCCTGCAGCAGCCGCCCCTGGCCTCTGGAGCAGCCGCCACTGCAGCAGCCGCCCCTAGCCCCTGGAGCAGCCGCACCTGCAGCCGCCCCTGGCCCCTGGAGCAGCCGCCCCTGCAGCAGCCGCCCCTGGCCACTGGAGCAGCCGCCACTGCAGGACCCGCCCCTGGCCCCTGGAGCAGCCGCCCCTGGAGCAGCCGCCAATGCAGCTGTGGGGGTGATGAGTGTGGGAGGTATGGGGGTGGCGGGTGTGGGGGTGATGAGTGTGGGACAGGTGGGGGAGGTTGAGTGGAGGTGGCCGCCGTGTTGTCAGCAGCACCAGTAGTCCGGGGCGCTGCTCCGGTAGCCCAGTCGTAGCCAGCTGCGCGAGTCGCCCGTGGGTCCGTTGCTCCTGCCGCTCGTCTTAGCCGCGGAGCCAGTTACTCCAGTAGTCCGGGGCGCTGTTCCGGTAGCCGCTGTGCCAGTGTGACTCCTGTTGCCCGTGTGTCTGCAGCTTCAGTTGTCGCCTCCCATCTCCTCTCCTGTCACGGTCCCTCCTCCTCCTCACTTCCCCTCTCCTTCTCCTGCACTTGGTGTACCCCTTCAGGGGGCGTTGACTGCACATTCTTCCCTACAGCCACTTATGGGGGCGTGTCAAACTAATATATAATTCTATATATTGTTCTATAACTGCCTGTAGTGTAGGATACTGTAGTCATATAACTTTCTTGTTGGTGGTGCACCTTGCATGCTCTGTTTGCTATATGTACTCTTGTGCTATAGTGAACAACACATTCTCCTTACTCTTGACCTCTCAACTACTAAGCTCCTAAGCTATGGCTCCTAAGCCTACTTAGTCTCTTTAACACGTTTGTGGGCAGGCACGGCCATCATCGGAGGTGCCGAACTATTCTGTGCGTACGAACCAAGCTAAAGTTGCTCTGGTAGGTGTAATTGAACATGGGCCACCCAAAAATGCAACGTTATTGGGGTCGTTCGATGCTTTTCCCTACTATAAGCATCCATGCGCTTCCTTAGCGTTCGTGGGCAGAACTTTTCTGTGCGCGCGAACCAAGCTCAATTTCCTCCTCTGGTAGGTGTATTTGAACATGTGCCACTGGAATATGCAACAACATTTGGGTCGTTCGATTATTTTCCCTACGTCTATATGGATCCATGCGCTTCTTTAGCGTTTGTGGGCAGGCACGGTGGTCATCGCGGGCGCCGAAATTTTCTGTGCGCGTGAACCAAGCTGAAGTTGCTCTGGTAGGCGTCTTTGAACATGGGCCACCCGAATATGCAACAACATTCGGGTCGTTTGATGTTTTTCCCAATGCCTATAGGGATCCATGCGCTTCCTTAGCGTTTGTGCGCAGGCACGACCGTCATCTCGGGTGCCGAATTATTCTGTGCGCATGAACCAAGTTGAAGTTGCTCTGGTAGGTGTATTTGAACATGGGCCACCCAAATATGCAACAACATTCGGGTCGTTCAATGCTTTTCTCTACGCCTACGCATATAGGGCTCCATGCGCTTCCTTAGCGTTCGTGGGCAGGCACGGCCGTCATCGCGGGCGCCGAACTTTTCTGTGCGCACGAACCAAGGTGAAGTTGCTCTGGTAGGTGTATTTGAACATGGGTCACCAAAATATGCAACAATATTTGGGTCGTTAGATGCTTTTCCCTACGCCTATAAGGATCCATGCGCTTCCTTAGCGTTTGTGGGCAGGCACGGCTGCCATCGCAGGCGCCGAACTCTTCAGTGCGCGCGAACCAAGTTGAAGTTGCTCTGGTAGGTGTATTTGAATATGGGCCATCCAAATATGCAACAACATTCGGTTCGTTCGATGCTTTTCCCTACGCCTATAAGGATCCATGCGCTTTCTTAGCGATTATAGGCAGGCACGACCGTCATCGCGGGCGCCGAACTTTTCTGTGCGCGCGAACGAAGCTAAAGTTTCTCTAGTAGGTATATTTGAACATGGGCCACCCGAACATGCAGCAACATTCGGGTCGTTCGATGCTTTTCCCTACGCTTATATGGATCCATTCGCTTCCTTAGCGTTTGTAGGCAGGCACGCCCGTCATCGCAGGCGCCAAACTTTTTTGTGCCCGCGAACCAAGCTAAAGTTGCTCTGGTGGTGTATTTCAACATGGGCCACCCGAATATACAGCAACATTCAGGTCGTTCGATGCTTTTCCCTACGCCTATAGGGATCCATGCGCTTCGTTACCATTTGTCGGCAGACACAGCCATCATTGCAGGCGCCAAACTTTTCTGCGCGCACGATCCAAGCTGGAACTGCTCTGGTAGGTGTATTTGAGTATGGACCACCCGAATATGCAACAATATTCAGGCCGTTTGATTCTTTTCTTTACGCCTATAGGGATGCATGCGCTTCATTACCATTTGTCGGCAGACACAGCCATCAGCGCAGGCGCCGAACTTTTCTGTGTGCACGAACCAAGCTGGATTGCTCTCGTAGGTGTATTTGAGCATGGGCCACCCAAATATGCAACAACGTTCAGGTTGTTTGATGCTTTTTCCCTACGCCTATAGTGATCCATGCGCTTCATTACCATTTATCGGCAGACAGAGCCGTCAGCGCAGGCGCCGAACTTTTCGGTGCGCACGAACCAATCTGATGCTCTGGTAGGTGTATTTGAGCATGAGACACTTGAATATGCAACAACATTCAGGTCGTTCGATGTTTTTCCCTATGCCTATAGGGATTCATGTGCTCTGTTACAATTTGTCGGCTGACACAGCTGTCACTGAGCCTATTACCAAGCCAGCAAGGGCGTGGGAGGGTGACGAGCATCTTGCTAGCTTGGTAATATGTCCAAACGCATATAACCACGTGAACCAACAGAAGAAAAACGCTCGGAACGAGCTTTTTCAGCCCCAAAACGCGGGAGAATCCATGTGCTGAAAATGCAGCAGGCTTTTTATTCGCGAATACCAATGACATATCATGCTTGCCACCCTCCCACGCTCTTGCTGGCTTGGTAATAGGTGCAAACGAATACAGCTAAGACTTGCATTTTCGTTAACACCGAGCATTACAAGAGAGCTCATACCGTCACCCCCCGGAGAAGCCCCCATGGGGCGTAATAATAAAACAGGGTTTTTTAGGGGGGTGGGCTTATAATTGAGGGCGTATCCATGTTCGGGTCATGGGCACTGTTCCGGGCATCCGCAATTTGCGGATGACCCAAACAACATAAAACGCCACTTTGGGTCTTCCGAACTCATGCGACCCCCAAAGAGCCGCGAAGGTATTCGCGCCAAAATCAAGCTCCCCACAACAGTCGCATCCAATGGAGGGATGCCAGAACAATTCGAAATATCCTTAGCAAGACCCACGCGAAACCCTGTCAAACTCTTATACTATAGTCTGTGTAGGCTGTAGTGGTGTAGACTATATGGGGTACAACACTTCTAGGTTTTCCTACTTGTACCCACCTACTTGCTAGTTCATTCATTCCTCATTTCTTCACATGGTATAGAGCAGGTTCCCTAGTGGGAACGCTTCCTTGGGCCCACCACTGAAACCTTTATTTTTCTGACCGGAGCGACAGTCGCTCCTGCCCGAGGCGCGCCTTGTGGGCCGCCCTTCTGTCGAGCTCTCTTAGAGGCCCCTCTCACGGCCCCTCGCGCCATCCCTAGCGGCCCCGTCGCCGCCCTTCCAGGCCCCTCGCGGCCCCTAGCGGCCCCGTTGCCGCCCCTACGCGGCCCCGTCGCCGCCCCTAGCGGCCCTGTCGCCGCCCCTAGCGGCCCCGTTATCGCCTCCCTCCCTACGCGGCCCCGTTGCCGCCCCTACGCGGCCCCGTCGCCGCCCCTAGCGGCCCCGTA